GACTTGGAACCAATCTTTTAGGATATTAATGGTAGGATGGGAGCAATGAAGCATTCGCGCCACTCTACGGGCCGATAGTACAGCTTGGAGTGTTCAAATTGTCCCAACAGCGCTCCTCGGGGCTTAACCTTGGCATCTTGTATAGCAATTTAAGTCGACAAAAGCAAGCTGGAATGTTTACGTAACTTGTTTTTTTTTCGACTCTAAAATCGCTGATGTGTTGATCTTAATACAATTTAGACGTTTTCATAATTTCGGCGGAACTTCAGTTACAAAACATATTAATTTGTATGTGGGTCACGTGTCCACGTGGTTAAATTTTTGTCCAGGGAAAAGATCAACGCGGAGTCATCGCTGAGTACATGGTGAGTGATGTGCAAAATTTCGCTCACTAACTCGCATGAACTAGGGCGCAGTTACAAAAAACAAATTGGAAAGTTTCTATTGCCGCCGGGTGTATGTTGTTAATCACTAATAAAGTGACAAGCAGCTCAGAGCTTAGTGTCTTTCTAAGCAGAAGGATGAGCCCAACAACTCTTAAGGCAATAATTGTATTTATACATATATACATATATATATATATATATATATATATATATATATATATATATATATATATATATATATATATATATATATATATATAAAATATATATATTATATATAATATAGATATTATATATATATTATATATAATTATATATATACATATGTGTGGGGGGCTCTCGTGGCCTAGAGGTTAAGGTGTTGGCCTCTCTTTCAAAGGTCCCGGGTACGAATCCGGGTAGTGACCGAAACATTTTCTTCTCTAAATTTGTCTCCTTTCACCTCCTTTCCTGCTCTCTAGCAATGTTCTGTCGTCTGCTTTCGTCTCCTCTTTCTGGCCCCACTCCCTCATCTCCTTTGCCCCCCTCCTCTGGGCTTCCGATTCTTTCTACAGCCTTTCTACTGCTACTCCCTTGCTTCTTCTTACTGCTGTCTTTCAGCCACACCCCTGATCTTCTGGTAGGAAAGATCTACACCTAGCCTTCTCGGACAAAGGCGAAAAATCTCGGAGGGCCCGTGTGCAAGTTGCGCATGTTAAAGATCCCTTGGTGGTCTAAAATCGATAAGAGTAGGCTTCGGCCACCACCCGGGCAAAATTCAAAATTTCCTACCAACTGAAAAAGTTTAGTGTGTCCCGCCGGCCGCCCGCTCATATGACCTTATGCAGTTGCGAGAGCCGTAAAACACTTACAAAATCAAAAACAAGTGTGTGTGTGTGTGTGTGTGTATGTGTGTGTGTGTGTGTGTGTGTGTGTGTGTATGTGTGTGTGTGTGTGTGTATGTGTATGTGTGTGTGTGTGTGTGTGTGTGTGTGTATGTGTATGTGTGTGTGTGTGTGTGTGTGTGTGTGTGTGTGTGTGTGTAGCATTGTGGTGGAAAAAGGATTTCGTCAAAATAATGAAGTCGTAGAAGTCGATATTTTTCGCCCTTTGGCCAATTTTGTAATTTTTGTTCAACATCTGCTGTTGTTATCTTTGTTGTTGTTATCGACCCAGCAACAGCTGGGCTCTTGTCCTTCTGTCCAATGACATGTAGTGATAAGTGCAGGTTTTCTGCAGTTGCTGTAATGTTCTATAGAGTGTGTCGTCAATGTTAGGTCTCGGAGGGAGAAGGGTAACTCTGATGTCATTTAGGGCTGTGCAGTGGAACAGGTGATGATCCACAGTCTCATGTGCATAGTCACACAAGTGACACATTGGGGGAAATTCTGGGTTTATTCTGTTCAGGTGGAAGTTGGGCTGTATATGTTCTGTTCGTAAGCGGAAGATCGTGGTCTGTTTCTTTCTCTGTAAGTGGTTGATATTGTCTTTCCTTTTTGTTGTGGTCATATGTTTGAAAACTGCTCTGCCTGTCTTTCCCAGGGCCCATCTGTCCACTCAGTCTTGTTTGTTGTTGTTTTTAATGATTTGTTTAGCAGTGTTGTATGAAACTGGCATGTTGGGTTGTTCCTGTCTAGATCCCCGTTTGGCAAGTGTGTTTGCTCTGTCACTTCAGGTATGTTTGAGTGTCCGGGGACCCACTGCATTACAAGGTTGATGCCACAGAATGTTATCAGATGATGGGAGCCAAACAGTATAAGAGTCAAATCCTGGTTTAGATTATATTCATTTTCTCTCGCTTGCAAGACTGATAGTGAGTCAGTGAAAGTCACAATACTCGGTGCTTTTCCAGGATGAGTGTCAAAAACTGTGCGGAGATGGTACAGTGCTGTTTCATAGTTGCTGCATTTCTCTCCACAGGCTGCAGAGATCTCACTTGAACTTCCTTCTGGGTACTGTATTAGTATTTCATATCCGGCTTTGGTTGAGTCTTTGAATGCTGAGCCGTCTGTATAGACGCGTATCCAGTCATCTGGATAGCTGTCCATTGTTTGATGTGATGAAAGCATCAGCGTCACTGGGTCTGAAGATTTTGTGCTATTGTCTCTGAGATATGTTGTAATGATTGGCTTTCTTAAAGAAAGGTGGGGGAGGGGGGGGGGCATGTTTTTGGTTGACTCTTTTTGGTGTCTTTTCTGTTTTGTGGTAGATGGGGACTCTCAATTAGTTCTGTGATGTGATGCATGATTGACATTTGTTGAATTCGTTTCTTTGGTTTCCATGTTTCTGCTAATTTCCTGTTTGGGTGGGTGGTTGGGGCACATTCTTTTAGTTCTTTCATGTAGTTCCAAAACTGCGGATTCCCAGGGGTTCAACATTTGAAAGGATTTCACATGCGGCAATAGGTGTGGACCTCATGCCACCATTTATAAAACGAAGGGCATTGTTTTGGACTTAGTCAAGGGTGTTGCAAGTAGTTGTACTGCATATAGTGAGTAGGTTATTGCTGTATTCCAGGGAAGATCGGACATTACCAAGGTATAGAACTCTCAGAGTTTGTTTGTCTGATCCCCACGAACTGCTTGCGAGTTTCTTTAAAAGTTGGAGTCATTTTTTTTTCTTTTTCTTTATGTTCTCCACTTGGTTTTTCCTGGTTAGACTTTGGTCAAGTTTGACTCCTATGTATGTTGGTTGTTCTTCTTTGGAGAGATTTTCATTTCCTATCTTTAGTTTAAGATTTTCTTTTGCTGATTTATGACTCTTTGTAAAGAAGATGTATACTGTTTTCGTGCAGTTTAATTTAAGCTTCCTTTTCTGACAGTAACTGTAGAGCCTCTTGAGGTTTTCATTTTATTTCCCTGCTCCTACTGCCGTGCTGGGATGTGTCTGCCAGAGAGCAAGATCGGCAGCGTAAAGAGTCTTTTCTGATTTCAGCACGTTCGTCACATCATTAAAGAAGATCAAGAACGAAGTGCAACTCAGACAGGAACCTTGGGGTAGGCCTTCTTCAAGTAATTCTCTTGACAAGTGGGCATTGTTTACCTTGGTTTCAATGTTTCGATCCGACAGGAAGAATTTGATCCATTTATATAGTTTGCCATGTATCCCGAGGTCCATCATTTTCATGAGTAGGCTTTTTCTCCACACTCTGTCGTACGCCTGTTGGAGATCTACAAAGATGGCGACAGTGTGTTTCGTCTCCTGAAATCCATCCTGGATGTTTTGACTCAGTTTAAAAAGTTGATCTTCTGTGCTGCTGCCTTTTCTGAAGCCTGTTTGGTGTGGGATCAGGTTGTTAATGTTTTCCAGGTACCAGTAGAGGTGGTTGTTTATCATTCTTTCCGCAAGCTTACCGATACATGATGTTATTAAGTTAATGAGATAGGTTGGTAGCTTTTCGCTTCTCCAGGTGGTTTCGCATTTTTCAGGAGCGGTATAATTTGGGCGATCCTCCATGCCTTTGATATTCCACTTGTTCCCCACATGGTGTTTATAAGGGAGACAAGAACTTCTTTTCCTTGAGCACCAAGGTTGCACAGCATTCCGTTGTGTATTTTGTCTGGTCCGGGGGCTTTCTTTTTCTTTTTCACCCTGACTCAGTTCCATCATGCTATAATCCTCTTCAAAAAGCGAGTTGTTCACAGTTGGGGCTTTTTCCTTATGCTTAGCCCTGTTTATGGGGAGTCTATCAGCCTCGGTTAGTCTGCCTACCCTGTTTACAGAGGCGAAAACCCGGTTCAAATGTTCTTCAAACACCTGTATGCCCATTGAAGAACACATTTCAATGTAGATTTTGCTGAAAATACTGATATAAGGCTCAAAATATAAATTTTGCAGTTTCGATTTATTTCGAAAGAGATTGTTTGGGTTACAAACACCTAAAAATGTTCGTGTCTTGTTTATTTACTGTGCACAGTCACATCGCATAGTATGCAAAATAATGCGTCATCACCATAAATTCGCTCATTGCCATATTTTTTAAAAAGTACAAAACAGTTGAGTTCCTCTTGCATCCCATTTGATATTGCCAAGTGTTTTTGCCATCGTTAGAAAAACTAAAATTTCAACACGTACCGTTCAGTATGTGTGGGCTCTGTTTATGCCAGTAATTAGAGCCCACCCCCAATCTTTTTCAACAACCTTATCATTACACAAGCAACATAACCGCGACAATTTAAAACGAAGTTACTTTGCATTAAGTGCTGTTTCAGTCGAGCATCTTTTTTCTGGCCCCGCTAGCTAATCTTAAGTTCCTTATAAGTGTTCTTTCAGCCAGACACCCTGTTTACTTGGTGTAGCTTTGCTAATCTTAGGAGCTGTTTCAGCAATCACCATAATTATTGACCTTAAGTTTGTTCTCAACTCCGTTGAGACTTTATTTAATATACATGTACAACTTTTTTGTCTTTTTAAAAATCAGTTCTGGTTTGTCATTTAGCGTCAACAAGTTATAGACTTCATCATTTCATTGACTGTGTTTTTTATTTTTCCCATTATAATTTCATCTCAAGAAGCTATTAGTACGCGTCTCTTTTTGTTTGTTTGTATGTTTTAATTGCGTGTAGCACTTTTCTCAGGTGTTATCATTTCCTCGTGAAATACAGAAAATCCGTCATATGTTCCCAAATAGTATTTATCAGCAAGCATTTTCATTCTTGTGTTGTAAAGACACTTCTGTATAAAACAAGACGAAAACCAAAGATATTTAAAAACTACACACACACTGCCCAATTTCACACAAGCGACGTTATCTAAGAAGGCACATATCCTCATAAAGTTCAAATCAACATGTTGATGTTCTACAATCTCACAAGATAACAGAGGCACACAAGGCCACACCAGTTGTCAGATGATCACGGTGTGACCCAGGCGATACATAAAGTATAAAGTCATTTTGACCCAAGTCCAGCTAAATCTTTTAAATTCTTCAACAGCCCACTTAACCTACTGGCAGTATGTATGAGTATACATTCTTATCAAATTGAATATAGTGTGTTCGAGGCATTTGTACATGTCTCCTAAAACGTATTACTTTAAGTATGCAACACAGCGTCGGTAACCTATTGGCTGAGCTGCTGGACTAGCTATAAGATGTAGGTTTCAAATCCTGATCCGATCTCGACACTGTGTCCTTGGAGAAGATACTCTGCACAAAGCTACCCTCAACCAGGTAGGAATGAGTACCCCGCTAAGATGGAGAAAGGTCGTGGCTACACTTTATAGTTTCGGCGTCTGTAAAATGGAAACTTGCACTGCAATGTTTCCCAGACAGTGGGGACTATCATTTCAGAATGTTATGGGATCTGCCAAGGTAACGATAAATAGTGAAAGGCTTAAAGAGTCTATTTTTCTATAGGTTAATGTACTGGGTAAACACAATCTACAATAATATTCGCAATTTTTTCTTGAAAAGCATCTGGTTCTTAAGACTTTGTGGAAAAAATGTTTCCTGAAGGGGAAGGGAAATCTTACTCCTATTCATGCAATTATCATTCATCTGTACAAAGACAAAGGGGACAGGCAATTTTGTAACAATCACAGAGACATATCCCTCTTGTCTAGAGCTGGTAAGATCCTAGCCCAGATTCTTCTCAATCACCTGTTGGGGAATTTCTCTTCAAATGACGCATTACTTGAAAATCATTGTGGCTTCCGCACTAAAACTTTTAGTAAAAGGGACCCAGTAGGCATGTTCTTTGCAGCAAGGCAGATTCAGATAGATAAAGTGGATAAAGTAGAATAAAACCTTGTTCATTACTTTTGCTGATCTAACAAAGGCCTTAGATACCGTTAGTCGGGAAGGTTTATGGAAAATCCAAGCGAAGTAAGGTTGTCCGTCAAAGTTTATCACTATGGTTCCGCAATTTCATGACGGCATGAAGGCCAGTGTTAAAAGAAAGTGATGATACATGATATGTCTGAAGACTTTTGTGCAACAAATGGAGAGAAGCAGGGCTGTGTTTTGGCATCCTAAACAGCAAGCAAAAACAAAAACTAGCATAATAGAAAGTTCACTATTTGAAAAGAAAAATTAAGTTTTAATCAATTCATGTCCCTTTTCAGCTGCAGGAGGAACGTATCTGAGCAGTGAGCCCTCATACGTCACAGACAAAAGTTCCGTCTTCGGGACAGGTTCTGACCCTCAAAATGTCGACTTCTGTGATTGACAGCTTGGAGATAACGCCAGTTCTGCTGGTCTCAGCTCTCGCTCTTGTTGCAGGCTTGGTCTACAGGTGAGCAGTTTCGGTTTAAGTCTGTACAACCGACCGGCGTCTGTGGTGTTGTGGTTAGCGCTTCGCTGTGGCATACAGAAGACCTAAGTTCGATTCTCGGACGGGGGAAATTTGATTAATGGACGCATATTCATTTATTTTTATTATCTAAAACCATATTAATTTTGTTATTTTTTTTAGAGAAATACAGTGTATGAATAGGCTTCCAAAAACTATCAGAGAAGCAGAAAATCTAGAAATTTTTAAGAAGAAACTAAAATCATTTCTATTTTCATCATATTTCGATTAGACAGAATGCATCCAAGCTGTAGATCGTTGTGAGTTTGTATGTGCATATGTGCATATGTATGTATGTGTGTATGTGAGTATGTATATGTGTGTGGTGCGTGCGTGAGTGAATATGTGTTTGCATGAGTATGTAACACTATGTATCTTTAAAATTGATTTGTAAATCCATTATATGTATCATGTTAAGCGCATAGAGCATTGCATAAGTGGATATGCGCTATATAAATGCAATCCATTATTATTATTATTATTATGAAAAGTTTTAACTCATAGTTCTCTAAAGTGGATGTAACCGAGACAAGCTTTTTATTATGGGGTCATGAAACTGTCAAACTCAGCAACTGTTGCTTTCTCTTACCAGATACTTAACGACCTACCCAGCCAATCTACCACCAGGTCCCCGGGGTTGGGACTGCTTTAAGCAGCTAATGGAAGCGTGTAATAAATGCACACTGAAAGAGAAGATGTGGAGCTGGGCAGAGCAGTATGGCGACCTCGTCTTCTATTACTCGCTGGGTGCCCCCTTTTGTGTACTCAACTCGGCGAAGGTGACACGGTTACTTTTGGCTGACGACAAGTACAAGTTGTTGACCGCTGACAGGGAACCAAACTTCTTTGCCAAAAACTTCTGGTACAACGGCAAAGATTTTTTCTTCACAAAGTACGACGATATTACCAAGAGAAAGAGGAGATTTTTCCACAAGGTAAGCTTTTTGGAACACCTGTATAGACATACACGCCTTGACCATCTAGCTCTCCCTGGCAAAATTTAAGGCAGACAAGGCAGGGGAAGGCCCAGAGCAACATACTTGGAGAACATAAACAGATGGGTGACAGGGAAGGTTAAGGGTAATGTAGCGTTTTGAGAGCATTCGAGCAGAGGAATGATGTCGCAGATCTGGCACTTAATGATGATAAAGCTTATACTCAGTGCACACTGCGCCAATCGGGGTCATTGGACTGAGTAGGGTCTAGCCAGATTTTAGTGCACAGTGTCCAACGTTTGAGGTGGGTCCGAGCAGAAAAAGGGAGCAGTTATGGACATGCACCGCCTGCCTAGATCCTAACCTTGTGGACAAAGACAAATAGATAATAACAGACAAATTAAAATAAACAAACTTCCTGAATCCTGATGTACCTGCCGGGACTGTGATTTGAACTCGCAACATTTTTGCCTGGAGTCCAACGCCACACCGCTCTACTTGGACTCCCCTACTTCTTACTGCTTCGGGTTTGTTCCTTCTTATTACAACAAAATACGAATTAATACAAAACAAAATAGATTAACTTGATGTATTTGAACAAATACGCTAAAGTCAGATTCGTGGGATTTATTTTTTTTTCGTTCCAATTTTATAGATGCGGCTGATCTCTTCAAACTTGTAACATAGTTTTTACTTGCTTTTCGAACAATTGTACTGATTGTTTGTTTCTTTGTTTGTTTGTTTTTGTTAGTCATTTCGTTTAGCTTGTTTGCGTGTTTGTTTTGTTTGTTTGTTTGTTTTCGTTGGGGGGGGGGTTGTCGGTGAAATTCTTTTTTGTTTTTATTTTTGTTTTGTTTTGCCATTGTTTTGCTGTTTGTTTGGTTTTTGTTTTGTTTTTGTTGTTTGTTGATGTGTTGTTTTTTGGGGGGTTTATTTACAGTTTTCGTTCTACCTGTAACATTTTTGTACGCCTTGAAATGTCTGAAGGCTCTGGGCATGTTCGGTGATGGAGTGCTCCGGTTTGAGGACGTTGTGGGAGGGGAGTTGGACAAGTTCATGGCTGGCTTGGGGCAGAAGGAGAATGTGGACTTCCACATGGACATCGACCTCGCTAGATCTTTGATAAAGATAATTTACATACTGGTAGGTATGGTTGTTTCTGTTGTTGTTGTTGGTGGCGGTGTTGGTGTTGGTGGTGGTGGTGATGGTGGTGGTGGTGGTGG